AGGGAAAGCTCTTCTGGAGTATGTTCCTGGCTGTAAAAGCTGAGGGTGCTATACCAAAGAGATTGCCCTCTTTCTTCCTGGTGCTACCTTTGTGTTGCTGCCTACCACGGGCCTGCTCCTTGGCCAGAGTTTTCTGGTTATGTGTTAGCTTTGTGGGTAACCATTGAGTGTACAGGAGTCTTCTGAATGGTTTGGGGGGATCCTTCCAAGCTCTCCTACCTTTCAACTTGGTGACATTTTGTATATTTAGACTTGAGCGTGAAAGTGCAAATGAATGTTAGGCTTCTCTGAGAGCTGGTTCTGGTGTGTGTAGACCTTAACTTCCTGAGCAGAATGTTAATGTATCTGGCCCTTGAGGTGACTTGAGTGATGGTCTCCCTTCCTTCTGCTCCTCTGAGCATGTGTCTGAACTCAAACTTTGCATTCTTCACCTAAACCTTATTAAGCTCTCTCTAGTTCAAACGAGTTTCTTGTTTGTTGTCCAGTGCTCCTTATAATCTATTAATTCCTGTATTCTTAGAGAAACTTAACAGAGTTCTTGTGAATTCTGAAAAGATCAGCTTACTCTGATAGAAACCAGGGATGAGATGGCAGTCAAACTGGGAAGGGAACGCTTTGGATTGAGCAGTACTTAGGTTGTGCTGTCAGTTAGTAGACCTTTTCTGATGCCACTTCATATTGTGTGGTGGTTTTGTTCATTAATTTTAAATCGCCATTTAAAAAGCTTATTTAGCTAATCATCTAGAGCATTTCAGGAAAATCAAATGGTCCAGGTATCCTACTTCAGAACTTTGGCTCATCTTGGAGAGAACATGCTTATCTTGAGTTACTGCTAGTCTGTTCTTTTAAAACTGTAGTCAAAAGATGAGTCACCCTCAGGCATGGGAGAGGTGTCTTTGACAGATCACCAGCATGTCAGCAATTGACCAAATTTATGATGGGGTAGAACGTACCAAGCTGTTTCTGAGGGAGACTAATATGAATGCTGTAAGCGAAAAGGCAGTTTGTTGGAGTCTGCTCATCTACCATGCTATGGAAAGCACTGGGAGATCAGAACGGGACCTTTTCTTGACCTTAATTAGACCAAAAAGAAACTTCAGATACTTGAAGTTTTCCCTGAAGATATGTTTCATTTGTAATACGAACCTCCCCTTCTCCTGAGGTATAAGATACACTGTTGAGTGTAACATGCTTCGTGTTCTAGTACCATATTTCTAGGTTTGCCTTAGAATGGCCGTTGAATGAACTTATGAGGATCAATAATGGTTTCTTCTGCAGACTGAGAAAGGAGTTTTGCTGAGTCTCGCTGCAGAAGTGCCTTGTTAAGGTATCAAGTAATTTTACTAGGTTACTGACAAAAGGAAGTGACAACTTGTGCTGGGAGAGAAAAAGAGTTGGACAAAACGTCATCTTTTCTGTATGTCTGTGGAGACCTTTATCTAGGGGTGACATCTTCAAGTGTAAGTTCTCTAATAGGTACAGTCTTCAGGAGAGGCAAGTGTGAGGTGTAGTGAACAGTACTGAAATCCCCTCAGAAGTATAAAAGGATTAGCAAAGCAGGTGCCCCTCAGTCTGGAGGGGGTTGCACCCTTCCTGCTGTGACTTGTTAGAGTGAAAGATACCGAATCTAAAGTGAGTTCAGGTGTCAGATGCAACTTTTATCTACTTGGTGCTTCAAGATGTCAGCTTCAGCTGTGAATGTGTGGAGTCTGTTAACAGATCTGCCACTCAACTGTAATTCCTCCCTTATGGGGCTCTTGTCTGAGGTGACAACTCTTAGCAGCTCACTAAAGCTTCTACCTGCTCGTGCTCCTGACCGAATTCAGCAACGCTTGAACCTGTTTGCAAAAAGAAGGGGAACGTGCTGCATTGACACAGTTGTGCCACTGAGCTGTGACCGCACCAAGTACTTGTGAGTGTCAGGCCAGCCTGTTCCTGAGCAGGGAAAGCGGGGCGTTTCTCCCCGCCGGACACCGCAGCTGAGCAGGCTCCGCAGCGCTGCGGCAGGGTGGTAAAGCTGTGCCAGGCTGCCTGGGTGGGAGCCGCTGTGGGGGCTGCGCAGAGGGCGCACCGCTGGCTTTCTGCAGGCCTCTAGTACCAAGTACAGTCTTCCTTCGAGAAGATGACTGCCAGGAAGGTTTTTTGAAATTCAGTGGTGGCAGCCTCTGTTGAACATCTGCTTCGTTGAGTTTCATTTGGAAAACCGCTTAAAGTATATATATTAAAAAAAAAACAACAGTACTTTGCCTTGCTTCCTGGTTTTTAAGCAGCCACTAGTTTTATCAGGAAAATGGGATGTGTAACATGGCTGTAACTGCGTGCCGGCTGGAGGCACCGCCTTTGTGTCCTGCTGATTAAGCAAAGGGGGCTGGACACAGACGTGCCTGTTACAGAGCGCAGGTAAGGATGCTCACGCTTACCTGGATGAAAACCCAGCAGTGGGTGCAGACATGCTGAAGACCCGACTGTCAATGCTGCGTTGGTTTCTGTTCTGAGAACTTTCTCCCGTTCCCCAGGATGGAGACCAAACCATAGTTATGCTTTCAGCTGCTGTGTTCGATTAGATGTATGCCCTAGAGAAATTAGGCTAGCAACTATTAGGACCACCTTCTACTTCTTCCTCTCAATATTGTTCGGTATCGGTGTTACTTCAGGTGTTAGCAGTGCTCATCGGTTTCACAGAGGGCTTTGTATAAACATCTGATGTCTAACATGGTCTTCAGTTTCAGACTAAATTGGGCAGTTGATCGAACTGGGAAATGGCAAGAGCTGGAGTACCCAAGTCCTGCATATCCAGCCTTTGCTTGTGGGTCTGGCTACGTCATCTCCAAAGACATTGTTCAGTGGCTGGCAAGCAACTCTGAAAGATTAAAGACATACCAGGTAGTAAAGCGTTGGTTCAGTTTTTCCATCTTAAACTGGTCTGGGGAGCAGCATGTGTACTGGATGAGTTGGAAGGAACATTGATCAAGTGTTAGTGTTGGGTTCTCCTGGTTAATGCTGGCTTTTTGCAGTGCTTTTGGTTGCTACGCTCTGTGTCTGTTCTAGGTCAAAGCACTGTTTTAGACTGAGAACCTCTGGAGCTGTAATTTTGGTTTTGTACTCTCCTAAGAGCAATGTAGTATCACGGGAAAGCTGGGAGGATTAATTTATCACTTCTAAAGTAGTCAGGCAGAGGTTTTTGTAGTTACCATTTTTACTGGTGGTACATGATACAACTTACTCTAGTTCACAAAGTCATGCTTCCTGCTTTCCTGGTGCTGTCATCTGTAGTTTTAATTTTAACGTGTCGTCTCAGGGTGAAGATGTGAGTATGGGCATCTGGATGGCAGCAGTAGGACCCAAGCGATACCAAGTAAGTCTGAAGAAATTCTCTGATCTTACAGAAAGAGAACGTGCCTGCCGCTCCAAGTAACATAAAATAGGGGAAATGTGGTTTTTCTTTAAAAAATCTGAAGCAGTCATTGGATTAAAATCCAGAAAAAAACTTGTTAAGATGTATTTAAAAGAAAAACCACAAACCAACCCCCATCCCCACCCCGCCCAGGTCTCTGACTCAGTCTCACAGATCCGAGAGGGACATACACCTCTCGTTGGTGACCTGTGCCTGCAAAGTTTGTTGCTAGAAACAATGAAAACCTGATTCTTGGAAGTAAAGATTGTTGAAGACTAAATTCTTTGTAAGAGAAACTATTGAAATGGTTCTCTCTCTAACAGGATAGTCTGTGGTTGTGTGAGAAGACATGCGAGAGTGGCATGCTGTCTTCCCCCCAGTATTCTCCACAAGAACTGAGAGCGCTCTGGAGATTAAAGGAACTGTGTGGAGATCCTTGTAGATGTGAGGGAAGATGAGGGACTTGCCTTGGAAAACAGGGTAGCGTGTAACGATCATGGAAAAGTGTACATTTGGAGTCATCCTTGGAACAATAAGTAAGATTGAGGTATCTTTTAATGTTGGGTTTCAGCTAAAGTATAACAAGATTTGCACATCCCTTTTGATAATTACAAGTGGACTGATACCATTCATTTTCTATAGCATAGATGTTGATCTGACAAAAACCAAAATGTTTAAGATAAAAAAAATGTCCTTTTTATATAAAGTCAAAGACATACTTGTAATTAATAAATGCACATAAGAATGCCAACTAGCCTGTCTTTTGTAAATTGAAGTACTACTGATTTAACTCAGTGTAGAGCTGTACCGGGATCCAGTGGAGAGCTGTGCTCAGCACCAGGGCATTGGATAAGTCTTGCTGTGGCAGGTTCTGTGCTGTCTGAGGGGTTGCCCTCATCTGTGCAGGGGCTGGGACAGCTAGGGGATAGGATCGATGTTTATTTATAACTTCATCATTTTAGATAAAAACAATATCAAAGTTTGCTTATACCAAATCTTGAAGTACTGCAAACTTGGCCTGATTAGGAGGGATTTCTGACAGCTCAATGTGTTATTACATGTGAATCTGAGGGTACGCAAGTGGAAGTAAAAGACTGAGGAACAGCGTGGTAAAGAATGTAAAATAAATAGCAACCCCTTGCAGTGTATGCTGAGAACTTATACTGTGGTATATTAATGCTGTAGGGTAGAATAAAGGCCTGTCAGACTTTGATAGTCTATAGTCTAAGGCTGTGTAGGTTCTTCTGCAATTACTTCTACTGTTTTACTTCTGTTTGCTTTAAGGTCTTTTCCCCTACTTCCAAACAAAAAGAGCAAGTTGCCTCTTCCCGTGCAGCACTAATGTTGTCCTATTGTAATCAAAGAGTTCACAACTAAATCACAGACTCGATTCAGTAAAACAAATTCTCACCGCTGCAGTGGGAAGGTTGTACAAAATCTTGGCAAAAGGGTTACCTTGATTTATTTAATTGAAGCATTCAAGCACTATTTGGTATCTCTCAAGTAAGACAATTCAGCCCAAAGCAAATGCTCTCATGGAGACTGACGATTGAGTGTAGGAGCTGAAAGTATTACTGTGTAGCCCTCTGGTTCCCAGATGGGTGTTGAGGTGCAGGCTCTCCGTACCGTCTACAGGCAGTCTGTAACTTCAGCAGTTCCAGTCTTGGCTTTTCCTTCTGTCTGTCACAAGAGTCCCCTCTCACCACCGTACTAACACACAGTCTCCATTTTCTATTGAGTAGAACTGCAAAGGCTTTAAGTCATTGTCCAGTTCAACTTCTTTTCCTTCCAGCTAGAAGAAGAAAGGAAAAAATCCTGATTAGACTTACATTGAAATCTGTTCATGTAAACCAAACACAGATCACGCAGTTGCAGCCAGGGAGGATCTGTCATATTATAGGAATGAAATTAGGTCCTAAATTACAGCAGGAAGACTGCCCTCCTTAAGTAAAATCGATTTGATTAGAATAGAACATGCTATTGACCTTTAGCAGCATGCAGTATTTTATTGTTGAATTCCCCCTTTTAACTCACTTTAGAACTTTTGTAGGACAGTTTCAGTTCTGAACCAGGAATCTTAAGTAGGCGATACAGCAATCCTTTGACCCTCTGAATTGTCATAGACTCTGTCAAGGGGAAAGAAAGAAAAGTTAGTAGAAAAATGCTGCTACCACTGAGCTGTAGCAAAGTACTGGTGTTTCAACTATACTTGCTTATAGCAACAGTGAAAGGCTGTATTGCTGCTTCAGTTCTAACACTGCAATAATGTCTTTTATACCTGAAACCATAACTGCTAATATCAAATTGAAAATGGTTCAATCTCTGGTGGGTAGGACAGGATATGCTACTGCGGTTTAAGTGCTTAGATCCCATATACCAAATTAAAGTGTCACGGCTTCATAATTTACTATTTTTGAGTTTGTATTTACTACATGCTAAACTTAAGTGACCTTTGGGATACACACCAGTCAGGTTCTGACCACCTGCATCTGGCGACTGTTCCTTAAAGTCTTCATTACCTGGAAATGGCTTTCCCGGCACAAATAAATGAACGTCACTGTGGAACTAGTGCCATTCTTAGAAATGGTATTACATTAATTAGTTAAAACAAATTCCTAGCAGAGTTGTAGAATGGTTTATATTATGAAGTCAGTTACACAAAGGGATATTTTTTGTAATGGATCTTGAATGAGTAAATGTAGTTTGTTCCAGAGGCGGTACCTGTGTTTGCAATAGATATACTCAGTATTTTGGTTGAACTTTCACTTCTTTTCAAGCTTTATCTAAAGGCACAGCAATAGTGAGTTATTCCTGTAATACCACACATTGTACTTAGACAAATATTTTTCTATCAAACATTTTTGTAAAAGCTGTATCTATCTGATTTTATGCAACTTGTGATAATAAATGTGATTTTTATTTTAGAATAAAGCTTGAGTAAGTCTCTTCTCTCAGACTCCATTCTGACACCTCTTTCCAAAACATCAGTTCGATTTAGAACAAAGCCCATTCATTCTCATCTCACTCCAGGCACTAAAACATCTAAAGATAAATTTGATTTCTAATTTAACCTATGAGATACTAGACCGCAATAGCTAGAACTGCAGACTACATATGGGCTCTTACTGGTTGTTACTTGGTTAACACACCCACCAGTTAAGTAACCTTTGATTGCCTCAGATACAGTAATTATGAAACCAGCAGCAGAGGTCATAAGACAGCCATCAACTTTCAATCTTCAAGCTGGACTGAAAGTAAGTATGAAGGTTGGAATAGTGGTGACTTTTTCTAACCCTTTCTACCTTTGTCATTTCTTTATATGACAGAATCTTCAGGGCAGAATCTTCAGGAGCTGACAAAGCCAGAGGCAGCTGCCATTCTTTAACACAGTTATCAGAAAAGGAGCTACAAATCAACTGCTTAAACACATGCCAAGACTTCTTACCTGGTAGCTTTTTCTCTACTGGCTTCTGTTCAGGTTTCTCAGGACATGTAATTGTCAGAGCTTAAGGAAGAACGGTGAGGCATTAGTGAATGAACGTTAGGCCCTGTTCTGGCAGAAGCACAGAGTTTTTCTTGTGTTTTTATTACAAATTATTTCCCCTAGCTCAGCCTAATCTAAAAAAATTAGGACATAGCAGTTATCTGAGCAGCCAAGATAGCATTTAGTCATTCTCTGAAAAATTAAAAGTAATTTTAATAAAATAATCAAGTTTCTATTCAGCTTTGGTAAGTTAGGGAAAATATTTTATAAGTGACTCCCTAATACTTTACATGTTGTTTTGGTCATAGGAGTATTTACCCTAAAAATGCTTAATTTCTAGTTAGCTTTTTAAAATAACCTGCAGCGGAATGGAAACTTCTTACTCAGTGTAAAGCAGGTTTTTAACCCTCAGTATCACAGAAGCACTGTACAAGCACATCTTAAGTTATTAGCCTAATTCTTTTTTAAGGATGAGTCTTTTAATCTCTGTAAAAGGTCTCCATTAGGTCTAGCCAACTAGATTCCTTGTTCCATGTAGTCTTCCACCTAAATGCATTAGAATGTAATGGCCTTAAAATATTATTTTGCCCATGGAGTAAAACAAGGTTCAGTTCTTCAATCAACTGTGAAACAAAGCTGAGTGAATGTGTCAGTCTGGGCTGTAACCTCATTTAGATAGGTAGACAGCCCCCAATACCCAAGCTACCCATATTTTTCCTGACTGTCCTAAAGTTAAGAAGCTATAAAAAAAATGGTCAGAAAACATTTTTGAGGTTATTGAGGTTAACATCTCACATGTCTGCTGTAGAGAAGCCATTCACACTGTCAGAATGGAGTATTGATTACCTCTGTTCTCCATTAAGTCTTAATTAAGAAAATCATTCAGCTTGAGTTGAGGGGCGAATGAGAGAGAGTACACAGAAGCAGGTATCGAGTCAAACTCATTGATACAGGCAGGTCAGAGAAGCAGAATTACAAGCTGGAACTCTGTGAGGTCTCAAAGGCTTTTGAACCTTTTGTTCTCCATCTACACCCAGGAACCTCTAAGCTCATAAAATGTTTTACATGCAGAAGGAACAATTTTGACCATTTCTGGCCACTTACTCAGAAGCTCATTTTTCAGAGTCGAAGGCTGCTGTCCCTTCAGTTCTCCTTCTTCAGGCACACCGTATTCTGTGTGAGAGGGAAAGGGCACGCAGACATGAACCCTAAAGACTAAAACTCGACAGCAGACCCAAGAGCTCTGGGGTGCTGGATAGGCAGGAGCCTGCTGCCTCAGTTCCCTCCGCAGCTGGGCTACTCTGTAGGGCCGAGTGCTGCGGGCACGAGCCTTACCCAGCTGCTCGAGCAGTGAGGGGGGGGGCACAGGCACGTGGGATGGGGTGGAGCAGGCGACGGGCACACGGAGGTGCTGCTTTTACGTTCCCCATTTAAAAAAAGCCGCAGGTGGAGACAGCGGCTGCCTGCTCCCCAGGGGAGTTACGGGGCAGTGCAGTGCCCAAGCAAAAGCCATCTGCGCCCAGGGTGGGCTTCCCCAAGGCAGCAGAAGCGCACGGAAAAAGCATCAAGGGGAAGGGAAACTGAAGAGAGACCAAAGCAGTGCTACCACAGTGCCAGAAGTGAGGAAATGCTAATTTCACTGTACTTGTACTTACGAACGCAAAGTGATGGGTATCTGGGGTGGGCAGCAAGAAATTCTTCACTTGGTTTGTTTTTCTCCGGGTTCCAATGCCCACCAGCTGCTAACCAGTCACTTCCAAATATTTTGCGATAATCAAGCTCTGCTCCTTTTCTTTTAAGGATCTGTACTGACACAGGAATGGCACATAACATAATTATACAACTTTCCAGAGAAGAAGAATCTAATTAATGACAGTGACTCCTTGCTCTTACTTAGGTGTTCAGTATGTTTTAATGCTACCCTGAATCTTACAAACCCTATGTATGAGTACTGCCTGATCCATATCTCTGGAACATTTAGAAGCCATTAAAAAAAAATCTCACAACCCTTACCTCCATAAGACTGATTCATAAATGAGTATCTAAAGCAAAGATGTTAATGTATATGATGACACAAGGATGTTTTTTGTAGCTATGGAACAGATGCTGCTTCTGTTCTTTTTTGTAATAAAGATTTGCTGAAAGTTTGATTTGGTTTAGATAATGCTATTTTCCTATTACAGAAGGCAAATGTTTGTATTACTGTCACTGAAACAGATTCAACAGTGCTGCTTTTTCGTTGTTTGTTTGGGTTTTTTTTGTTGGGTTTTTTTGTAGCCAGAGTATGTTTTTTGTTAACAGTCCTGCAACTTCAATGTGACTCGGGCACTTGAAAAAATCCCACCATTCCTCCATCTTGTCCTAGTCCCCGCTGAGTT